AAGAGAACAACAACAATCAACTTTTGATTGTTACATGAAGCAAAACAATTTCTAATAAACACAAAGTAGGCTTTGATACCAATGTTGGGAATTTACTTAATCATCCACAGCGGAAAATAAAATAATTTTCAATTCTCACCAAGGATCAGCATTGTGTTTACATAGAAACTATGATAAGAATTATACATTTGATGAATTCTGCAAACTCCTTTGCTGATTCTCGAATTCCTACGATCACGATCTGCAATCCAAACTGTCCAATTGTCCAGCCTTCAATGATGATCCACAGAGAACAAGAATGACAACTAAAATTTTCTTTTCTTGTGCTAGCAAGAATAATGAATTATCCATACAGTTTTCAAACCCTGGCAGCCTATTAATATAAATCCAAGCTAGCTTGGCCCGTCTGTTAAACTTAACCCGGTCTAGTATTTAATTAATCAAAATAATTAAATTTGGTCCATGAATTAATTAATCTAATTAATTAATTCGGGTATATTAATAAACAACTCAATTAATTGATTGTCCAACACTTGTCAATTAATTAATTGGTAAATTCCATTCTTTTGATTCTCTTTTGTGTGTGACTTATTAGGTTCCCGATCACGATACCTAACGACGTGAATTATTATTTTGATGTAACCAAAATTGCTAAATTAAAATATCCCTTTTAATTTATCATCAATTTACATCAGTCGTCCCAGATTGACATTNTTTTATTTTGTGTATGACACATTAGGTTCTCGATCACGATACCTAACGACGTAAATTATTATCTTGATCTAATCAAAATTGATAAATTAAAATACCCCTTTTAATTTATCATCAATTCACATATGTCGTCCCAAATTGACATCTAGCAATGTATTAGGACAATACATGTGATGAAAAATGTTACGCGGTATGACAAAACCAAACTTGTGAACGTTTACCGTGAAACTATAATCCTTTCGTCAATATGATTCGATCAATTCTGAGATATTGATAGGTGTCAATCTCAATTATCGATCATATCTTTTATCCCACTATTAAGTCAATGTAAGTCGAAAACTCATTTTCGACTTATGAGTTCACCTTGACCAATGATTTCATTATCAACTTATCTGGATAAAATGTAGATTATAATCTCTTACTATCTAAGAGTGACGAATCATCTATTGATCATTCACAACTTTCATATGATTCTTGACATACCCGAACGATGCTATATTAGTGACCCTTGACAAAATAACATCCAACATCACCAAAGTATAATTGTCCTCATATAAGGCATTATGATGACCTCAAGTCAAATAATCAATTCTACTATCGAACGTTAGAGATTAACCACTAACACTCAAATAGTTATCCATGTGGAATCTCCCAGTGAGCCTCCAATGTTTTGTTCTATAACAAAACATCTACGTATTCATTCAAATTTCACCACACTTTAACTTGTGAGATCAGCTACTTACTTCACAAGTAAAAAATGCCACACGTGATTGTCTATCCGTAATAACGATATATGTATCTCGTTATTACATACGACCACAGACGATTTAAGATTCAGTCATATGTAATTTGTATCTCACAATCACAACTCATTATGATTAACAAATCATTAAGATTTAAATCTGCGGATTCTATTATTTAATCTATTAGAATAT